GTTGCCAGGGTCCCTGCTCTCCTGACTCTTATCATGAACCCTCAGTTCGTGGTCCTGGCCTGTGGGGTCTCTGAATAGCCCAGTCTGGAGAGGCCTGGGTTGACCTGGTGCCAGCGGCCCAGTGCCCCCGAGGCTGGGAGGGCCGTGGGTCCAGCTTTCCCAGTTCCAGCTCACGCGCCCTCCTCCCCTCTGCCCCCCCCACCCCCCACCCCAGAAACCAGTCCAACGTGCGGCGCATGCACACCGCCGTGCGGCTGAACGAGGTCATCGTGAAGAAATCCCGGGAGGCCAAGCTGGTTTTGCTCAACATGCCGGGACCTCCACGCAACCGCAACGGTGACGAAAATTGTATCCTGGACCTAACGTGGGGGGTGCGGGGTGGGGGCTCGAGGCAAACGTCAGGGGGCCGGGGTCCTAGTCCTGGGATGGAAGAGCTGAGCCCGGTCCTGCTTCAATTACCTGGGACCCGGACGGTTCCAGGGCCCAGGGTTCCCTGGCGCCGATCGCAGCCCCCATTCCACCCGGGAGCGGGGTGTGGATAGGAAAGGGACGGTCTTTCTCCTTGACGCGCGCTCAGACATGGAGTTCCTCGAGGTCCTCACCGAGCACCTGGACCGGGTGATGCTGGTCCGCGGCGGTGGCCGCGAGGTCATCACCATCTACTCCTGAGAGCCAGGACCTGCCACCCGGGCCTGAGCGCGCCCGGCCGGCGGCCCCGGAGCTCTCGCCGCGCCCCCCCGCCGCTGTCACCGTTTACATACAGACCCTGTGCCCGCGCCCTGGCCCCTTTCCCCGCTGCCTGAAGCCCGGAGGCCACGCCGCTCGGGGCTGACTCGGAGAGGACCGCCCCAAGCGGAGGCCGGAGCCCGGGCGCCCCGTCGGCGCGTTGCTCCGCGGGCCCGGCCTAGCCCCGCGGGAGGAGACGCTGCAATAAGGCCGGGAAGGCGCGGAGAGCGGGGGGCGCGGGGCCGTCAGGAGTCCCGGCGGGCCTCGCGGCCAGGTCCTCTCCCCCGCCCCGCCCCGTCCTCGGCGCCGCGGCGCGGGCCCGGCTCCCCGCGTCCCGAGGGCGCGCGGTGGGGAGGCCGCGCTCGGCCGGATCCACCGCCCCCCCGCGCGGGGCCGCGCCTATACATAGTGTACAGGAGACATCGCGTGTATTTTTAACGTCCCCATATTTCTGTGACTAGAAGCGCAACGGACTTCTCTGCTCGCCACTGTCGAGCTCTCCCGCTGGGGCGCCCGGGGGAGGCGGCGGCCTCGGGGAGGCTGGGTTTTCCCGGACGTCCGAGAGTTTGGGAGCAGAAGTGCTTTCGGCTTAGGCGAGAGTCGCGGTCCTGGCCCCTCGGCACGCTCGCCCCGCTCTCGCCTCCTCGCCCTTCCCGCGCGCCCCTGGCTTCCGACCCTTTCCACGAGCTCTTTTCGGAGATGGGGTGAGACCAGTGTCCGCCTTTTCCTGGATCCGCCTCCCAGCGGCTGCGGGGAAGCGCGTGGCCTCCTCTAGGCTCCCGGCGTGCAGGCTCCAGGGCAGGGGAGGGGCTCCTCGGGGATGGGGAGAGACCGAGGAAGCCCCGCCCCCGTGCCTTCGCTGGGGCAGCAGGCGTCTCTCCTCGTCGGCTTGTCGCCTGCTCCCCCTATCCCATGGCTCCTCGCCAAAGACTGAAGCTGGGGAGCTGGACGGCGTCCCCTTCCCGGAGTTGCGTCCCTGGGACAGGCGAGGGAGGAAGGGGGGCGATTTGGGTTTAGGGGCCAGACCCACCGGGGAGGCTCCAGCGCTGCCCCTGATGTACCCTCTCCTGTCCCCACCCGGCAGCTCCGGCCTCGAGGACCCAGTCGCCCTCTCCGCGTCCCGGAGGCCCGGCCTCGCTGCCCAGCAGCGGCCTCTAGTTGCGTCTCCCAGATACCTGGGCCTGGGGGAGGGCTGGGGTCGCCATGTGCTTTGTTCTTAGAGCCTCTCTGCCCTCCTCCAACTAGGACCCAAAGCCTTTGGCTTCTCCAACTCCAATCCTTGGCGCTTTTGCTCCAAGCAGCCCGGTCAGAGGCGCCCTCTATGCCTAGAGAAGGCGCATTGGGCGGGTTCCCTTCCCCCAGGGCACGTTACTAAGGGGGATAGGCACTGCATGCTCGTTCCAGCGTCCTCTGGGTTCAGTACCTCCAGCCCCAGGGCCCTGACATGTGCACCTAGTTAGACATCCTGCCCACCTCCCAGACAGAGCTGGGGCTACTGGGTACTCCTGACCTCACCACCTCCTTCCCTTTGAGCCCAAGGCAGAGAGCTGGAGCTGTTGCCATCTATAGACTGGATCAGGTGTGGCTGGAGGTAGGTCTGGACGTCTGCCTGTTAGGCCAAGCCCTCTGAGATTTGGTGAGGGGGCCAGATAGACTCTTCAGAAAGTTGGAAGTATTAAGACACCAGCCCCGGCCCCCACCAGAACCCCTGCATCTTCCTAAACACCACCCTCTGAGAACCACAGCTGGGCCTAGGCTTCTGGGTGTTCTGAACATCCTAGCCTAAGTGGTGGGCTGGGCAGAAGAGGAAGGGGTCTGTATCAACACCAATTAGGGAACCAAAGTTGCACTATCTGGGCCCAGAATGTCCGGTTGGCAAGAGCAAAGTTTCCGTTGAGGAAGACAAACATCCCACAACAAAACCCAACTTTTCTGTGCTACATGTGCAATATTTGTTATGAATGTTCTCACAAGTCATTCATCAAATTATCTTTATAATCATTGTAGCTAGATGTTTCATGTCCATTCAAGTGACTTTTATTCTGAGTGCAATATTTCAATAGCCTTGTAGTGATAACTAGTGTTGCTTTTGTTTTAGACGATCTATGTGCAGGGCAATGCAATGAAGTTGAAAACCCTTGTAAATAGGAGAGGTTGCAAACCAAATCAAGATTATTTATTACTATTATTAGGCCTGCCTTTAATTTTCAGTGTGTTTCAGTATTCCGCATTCTGCCTCAGTATTGATCTTGTGTTCTTTGTGCCAATACGGAAAGGAGCGCGTTGGTTCTTTCCTTTATTGTTGAATGCTCCCATTTAATGCTTTACAGCTTTTACTGTATTTTTTAGACTCCCGTCTGCACAAAATGCAATAAAAATAATTTTATTATACCCTTCACAGCCTGAGGCGTGCTGTTTGGACACCCAAGGGGGAAGAGTGAGTAGGTGGGAAGAGGGGCACTCAAGGTGGCTCTTCGGGAGCCTGGCGTCATCAAACCCTGTCACTGGCAGAGGGGGCTGGCCTGGTCTTCCAGGTCTGGTGGCCTGGTCTGTGTTCTGATGGCTGTGGGGCCCTGTCCTGGAGAGCACTGCCAACATCCCTCGAAGGCAAGCACTAGGCAGGTCAGGCTCAGTGCTATCCCCAGGCCACGGAGGCCTAGTGCCAGTCACTTCACCACACCTGCCCCAGGGTGTCCCGGTGGGGCTACTGAATGCCCTTCCAGGCTCCCACGGCCTCTAGGACTCTAGGGTTCTGCCAGCTCCTCACATATAATGGACAGAACAGAGGGTGGCAACTGAACGGAATCAAAACAGGAGGGTGCCCTGCTCCACTGGCCAGCAAGGGCCTCCTCAGGGGCCTGTTTTCCTTTCCTAGAGTTGAGGACAAGCCTGCTGCCACACAAACACGGATGTTTAACACCACATCATCATTAGCCAACAGGCTGTAGCTCTGGAATGTTATTAAAGCTTTTAAGTAGGTGGGATGCGTGAGGACAGCCCAGACTTAGGAGGTCTTCAGGCCTGACCACGGGAGGAGGACGAGAGGGGCAGACCTCGCGCCAGACCGAAAGCAGTCAGGGCTCTATCAGGGACCTTCACCTTCTGACCTTGGGAGGGAATGCCCCTGCAGACAGAAGGCCCCAAAAAGACAACACAGGTTTTACTTTTTCACTTTAATTAAAAAGTAATCATCTCATCTTATTAACAACACAGAATTCCAAAGAGGAAAAAACCCACTCTGTAACACAAACATGTCAGAACATAAAACGCTGCCACCTGGGGACCTTGAATTTTTGCAATCATTTGTTTACTCAGCCACTGGCAGGGACTCAGCTGAAGTCACTGCTCTCCTCGTCCCGCCAGAGGCCCCTCGAGACTGTGATCCACAGGGCTCTAATGAGCACCTCCCTGGGGAGACGGCAGCTTGCTTTGGCTCCATTTAGAGCAGCAGCCTGAAGTCCTCCCTCTTAATAATTTCACTCTGGCTCAAAACTTAGGAACAGCCACCTGTATTAAGGACATGTCCAGCTACCAAAAGTCTGACATCAAAATGGTCCCTACTTCCTGCTGCTCAGAAAACAGAACAAGAATCCAAATGAAAATAAGAACCTGATTTGAGCCAAAAGCTCGAAACAATCACTGGGGGCGGGGGGGGGGGGTGTTCCTTGCCAGAGTCTAGAGCTGCCTTCTCAGAACCTCCATGAAACTAGCACTGAAGAGGGAGAGGCTGACAGAAATTTAAGGGGGTGAGAGTGGTCAGGGTCCAGGTTCACAGTTCTTGTTGAACTGCTGGTGATGGGAGCTGTTCAGCTCATTGCAGATCCTCCAATGAAATGAAGAAAAAAAAAGAAAACAAAACAAAAACAAACCCTAAACCACAACCCTGGATGATGTAGAAAAGCGCCTGCTTCTGTGGCTGCCATGGACACTTCTCGACAACTCCAGGGCAGCTGGTCAGTGAGTCCTCAAGCAGACCCCATACACATGGGATGGGGGTCACAATGACGGCGCTGTGCTGGCCAAGCCCAGGCTGGTTCTCTGCAACCTGAGGCAGGAGCTGCAGACAGGAGCTTGAGATCTGGTCGGCCTGCGCAAAGCTGGAAAACCTTGGCAGATTCAAAATGAACAAAGGCGGTGGCGAATGACAGGAAAGTGCCATTCCAAACTCAGCCAATCGGGCTCGGCTTCCTCCTGCCACCTCCCACAGCCGCAACCTCCGAATCAGTGGAGAGACCCGAGAAACCCATGACATATAAACTGAGCCCAGACACCTATACTGCCCAAGTGACCCCAGAGATATTTATTTTCTACAAAACAAAAAACAAAAACAAGAAAAGATACACCCCCAAATGCAGTATAAACTCTGACTCTGGAAGGAATAAGCAACACAGCCTCGGGCAGAAGTGAGAGCAGGTGGTAGAAACATTCGATGTAGACCTGGAGAGGCGCAGAAAACATCCTCCAAATAACTCTATTTGAACGCAGTAGGTGGGAGGCCAGGGGATGAAGGGACTGGGGGTAGTTGAGAGACTGAGCCTCAGTAATGCCTCTGGTAAGATCCTATCGGGGCCGGGGGTCGCCCCACCTGTGCTGCGGTTTGGCTAACCAGGTGGGAGAGAGCAGGGCCACTCTGGATCAGGGTGTCCAGAGCCTTCTGTACACTTGGATTGTCAAAGTTGATACCTGTGGAAGACACGGGCCTCTGGCTAGCCATGTTGCTGGCAGGTGCCAGGCGACTGGAAGGTTGGCCAAAGAGCCCTTGGGAAGGAGCCCCAGGCCTGGGGCCCATGTTCCGAGCAGATCCTGCCTGTCCCAAAATGTTTGGAGGCTGATTGCCAGAGGCCTGTGATCTTTGCTGAGGCTGGCTGTTCACTCCTGTGGAAAAATTCTGGTTCTGGGTGTTTCCGGCAACGACTGAGGGGGATGCAGAGCCGCTATTGACCACACCCGTGCCACTATTGAAGAGGCTGAGGATTTTGGCCTGAAGCTCCTGCTGGGAGGTGGGGGGTACAGCTGGACTGGGTGTAGCAGAGGGGAGCACTTGGCCGCTCTGGAGCGGTTGGGAGCTTGGCTGTGTCTTCAGCGAGGGACCCGAGGTCGCCCCGAGTGGTTGACGGGAAATCGGGCCTAAAAGACAGAAGGAGGAGGTATCCAGTTGAAAGTACCCTCCCTGGGCAGGCGGCTTAGCAGCCAGGGAAGAACAATAATCACTGATCACATCAATCACATAACACACAGACTATAACATCACTTTCCCCAAGGGGCTACTTCATGGTATGTGCTGTCTCCAGGAAACAGCTCAGGTGCCCCAGAGGACTTAAGGACAAAAGGGCATCCAACTCGGTTACCACGTGGCCAGCAATCCTAGCCCACCGGTCACCACATTCACTACAGGGACTGAAATTCAGTACCCAAACCTTAAGTTATCATTACATCAGTAAGGACAGCCCGTGGGTGAACCCAGGGCATGGGCTCACTCCCCTCACCCACCCAAGAGTGGGGCCTGCCACCCTCCCAACAGAGCCTGGGGGTTAGAGAAATGCAGTCAGAACTTCACCTCGGCCCTGCCACGTAGCTCACCAGGCAGAGAGTCGGTGCTGCTCCTCATAAGGCGCTCCTTCCGCTCCCGCAGGTAATTGATGATCTTGTCGGTCTCTTCCGCAGTGAGGTACCGATTATCTGCCAGCAGGTTGAGGAGGCTTTGGATGGCCGGAGGGTGCCCCCCACGCACTCCTTCCTCGGGACCTCCGCGCTCCCTTTCTTGCAGAATGGCCTCATCGGCCATCTTGGCTGCCTGTCTGGCAATCTCCTCACGTTCCTTCTCCCGACACTCGTTCTTGTAGCGCTCATAGTTTCTGGCCACCAGCACCATGGCGTCTGCCTGGGGCATGTTGCGATGCTCTGTAGGAGACAACAGCAGGAGTTATTTTCTCCCTTAATACACCTGAGTGTCTACCTGCTGGAGTCTACCAGGCCTTTCCTAACCTCAAACCAGCAAGAAAACCATTTTGGTGACAAAAAGTCTTGGGATGGGGAGCGGGGGGCGGAAAGGAAATGAAGGCTGGGAAGAAAAGTGAATAGATTTCTTCGGTGGGGAACACACACCTTCCGCAGAGCTGGTTCTTCGGGGGAATTCCTAGATCACACAGACTGGGAGCAAAAATCAAAGAAACACGACAGTCTCCCACAGATTCAAAAAGACCACATAGGGAATAAGCATGGGAGGCAGGCTGTGGGGGGCCAAAAAAAGGGCTTCTGTAAAGCCTGGCTCTCCCCTGTGACACTTGGGATGGAGCCGGCCTACTGTTTTTGAATTCATCAGTTCAAAGGTCATGGATTAAGATCAAATGTAACCCTGAACAGCCTCCTCTCCTCACCCGTGGGCAACGTGACTTACAGGGTGGTGAGAAGCCTCAGAACTTTACATAAATGTCCTCCCGCATCTTGAGAACTAGTCCTCAGAGAGACAAACGACTGAATGACCTAGTGGAGAGCCTTACGTACTTCACGGTTATGTGTATGACCTGTCAGGCAAAGAGATTCCGTGTGTGGTGGGAAAAGGGAAAAGTCCCCACTAGAGAAGCAATGACAAGGACATCAGTTGGCCGAATCCCAACATTCTGAGTGCGAAATACTAAATAAAAGCGGCTTCAGGGAAGGGCTTCGAGGACGTCTGGGGCCTCCTCCCTGCTCTCCTGCCCCTTCTACTTCTCCAGCACACTCACAGGTAGCATCCTCATCCCTGTGCTGTCCTCTGCCCCTTACTGCGGGGCCCGGTGAAAGCAAGGAGGGGTTCTGCCGCACTCAGAGCAGCCCGCACCAGAGACGCACCGGTGTCTGCTCTCACGGACGAGAGCTGACGGTGCGCCTCTCTTCTGAAATGACTTCATGTTGGCGGCTTGAAACAGGACACAGTGGGAGCATTTACATCATGGAGATCAGCAAATACTGTACACCACACTGCCTCCTACCTGCTCCCAGAACTAGCTGTTAACCTTTTGCTGGGATCCCACGGTCTCTACCTATGGGCTAAATATGTCTTCTTTATAGCAGGCCCAGAGCTGTATCCACCGAAAACTGCATCCACTCAAAGAGTATCAGATGAGAATGTGGCCATGCAGGTCTCCTCAAGTGTACTTATAAAAGGGCCCTGCCATATTTGAGCTGACCTATAAGTCATGTGGTCCAAACCTGCTTCTTGTGAGTAAGACATGAAAGAATTAATGACTAGTGACTACCTCTGGAAATCTGACCCACTGGGGCTTCCGTACCTTGAGGGGTTCCAAACATGATGTTGACTGTGCAGGAGCGGTGAATCTGGTGTTGCTGGGTGATGACGATAGCAAAAGGAGACCCGCCCCTGCTAACATCCTCCAAGGCTTGTGACAGTGACACCTCTGTGTTGAGGAAGATCAAGTCCACTACCATGCCCAGGTCTCGTACCTTCCGGCCCACAGATTCAGCATAATCTCTGTAGAAACAAACGGGATCCAGGTGAGGACCGCCTGAGCACCCCCAGTGTGTAGCTGCTGCACCTGTCAGCAGTGTGTGCTCCTAAGGGGAGTTCAAATCTCAGTGTATCCAGTGCCTCCCCAGAACCCTCTTCAAGAATCTAGACCAATTCCTTCCCTTACACTAGTTCAGAACAATTGTGAACTAGCTCAGAATGGTCACACACAAGTTGCCATTAGTGCAGTACTTAGTACGCAGGTCCTTCTCTGGGTCCCTGTAGTCCAGTGGTCCTTCCTTAAACACCATTCTGCTGCCCAAGACTTGAGGCATGTGTCTGTCTTTGGGGCGGCTACATAATATAATGGGGAAAAAATAGGCTTTAATGCTACAAAGATAAATCTGGATCCCAGCCTTAACATTTACTTATAGAGTTGTTAAGATTTAAGCAAATCCCTTAACCTCTTACAAACTTGTTTCTTTACCAATTAAACAGGAACAATATGGCTTGGTTCATGTTACTCCCCTGACTTTCCTTCCAATCTAAATTAGATCCTTGATGTATTTCTTCTCCTAGGGCTCATCGCCCAATACATCCATTTTTTGTCATCTGCCTGACTAGGCTGTAAACCCCGACAACAGGAAGGGGCCCTGTGTGTGAGCGGACCATTACAGACCCAGTAGCGAGCTTCACCATGTATTTAAGAGAGGAGCTGAATGAATATACATGTAATATGACGAGAGTGAAGATTAAAAATAATTTAAGTAAAGCGCCTAGCAAGGGGAGGTAGAGTAGGTACTCGGAAAATGACAGCTATTACCATGTGTCGAGGAAAAAAAAAAAAAAGCGATCTACAGTCAAAGCAGCATCTACCTCTAAACAAAGGCAGCCCAGAGCCTGGGAACTCTGCCCGCTGCTTGGTGTCTCAACACCTATTTCCCTAGTCTCTGCCTTGAAATTAGCTCTTTAACCCCAAACTGCTAGAAAACACATGAAGTTATTTACTAACCACCTGGGGAAAGGGAACATAGCTAGTGCCAAACCTGCAAGCTGCTATGCTCCCTTCTGCCTCCCTGCTCGGTCTCTTTAGGAAAGAATGTGAAAAAGAGGCTTGCGAAAAGGTACCGTGAACTCTGGATTGGCCGAAATGGTCTCTTAAGAGTTCTGCAAGATCACAGACCTTCACAAAGAAGGTTTGGCTGACAAATGCAGAAGACATGCACCTCTCAAAGCACTTGGGATTCAGGGTTTTTCCATGAAGGGGGCATCTGCTGCTTTGCATGAGCAACATATATTCCCTCCCTCTCCAATTTCCCTTTGGGAATGCACCCTTCTACTGAGTCCACATGATTCCACAGACTTAATTCTACCTTCAGCTCTAGGAATGGGCACATAATCTAGCCCTGGTCAATCAAGGTATCCCAGCGCTGCTAGCTCAAGGATGGGAGAGTAAGCTAGGTCAGTCCAGTGAGAAACAGTTCCAGGCTTTTAGGTGGAAGCACTGGGAAGGAAGCTTCTGCTACAAAGATAAATGTCTAGGGTCAGCGCCCTTCGGCGTTTTCAAGTAGAAAGCATGTCTGAGAATGAAGGTGACACAGAGACTAAGTTTTGATGACATGGTTTGACCCTGGATGTGGCCATACCCAAAGTTCCCCATCAAGCGAACTAAAAATTTCCCTTTGGGGCCTAAGACCGTTTGCAATGGCTTTTTTGTCAAGCTACAACTGACAGACCGAACTCTGGCTAAACACAGGAGAGCAGTGCTGGAATATACAGCCCAAATCCAGTGGGTACAGCTGCCAAAGGTCTCTTAATTTCTCTTCTGACGTTTCTCCTTACTCAGGAGAAATAACCAAAGGATTCTTACTTAGTCTGCTTGTTGACCACAATCACAGAACAATCAACAGGCCTCTCAGCATCGAAACGTCTCTGGATTTCCTCAAAATATTGACGATAAAGTTCTTCTCTACGCCGTTCCTCACGTTTCAAACGCTCTGTAAGACACCAACAAGGCAAACTGAAATATGGACTGTGACTTTCTATAAAAATAAGTCATAAAGCTTACTGTGAATCCCAAACTACTTGTAGGACAAGGCTGTAACATAAACACACTCTGGTCTACCTCCTAAAAATAACCAGTGTAATTGTTCCTTACTATTATAAATTCACTAGAATGGAAGTGTTCGATTAGAGGGCATGGTCATTTTTAATGTGTCATCTGATACACACGACACCAAGGCTGTTACTCTAGAGAGGCTGTTACTAACTTATCCCCTCAGAGGGGTGGATCACCCAGTGCTCTTTCTTCACATCTTAGTCAACATTGGAATTGTCACTTCTGAAAATTCCTGCCAACTTAATAGGTAAAAGATGGTATTCTGTTATTATTTTAATTTGCATTTTGGGGACAAATATTTAAGACCCTTACTGACAGGTATATTTAATTTTTTCTGTAAAAAAAAAATCATGCAGTAAAGTTTTATTACAAATTAAGAGAGCTTTTTAATTCAACTATGAAATAATTAAAAAATCTTTAAAGATGTATTATGAAACATGAGTATTTGAAAAAACATGTTTGGGGGCGCCTGGGTGGCTCAGTGGGTTAAGCCTCTGCCTTCAGCTCAGGTCATGATCTCAGGGTCCTGGAATTGAGCCCCGCATTGGGCTCTCTGCTCAGCGGGGAGCCTGCTTCCCCCTCTCTCTGCCGGCTATTCTGCCTACTTGTGATCTCTGTCAAATAAATAAATAAAATCTTAAAAAAAAAAAGAGGAAGAAAAACCATGTTTGTCTTTACCTAAAAAAGAGATGCTGTTAGATAAAAATTATAAACAAAAACCCCCACATGATGCATAGACAGTGCAAACAGTTGTAGTTATTTTGTTAATTGGCAAAAAGCAAACACTTAACCCTCTTTAGCTCTAATCTTTTGTTCATTTCTTCCTGCTGGAATCCCATATTCATTTCTTCTTGTTACATGACTAAACCGGATGGCGGTACTAATTTGCATTTTATAAATTATTTTCAGCTGTACGTTCCCTACATATTAGAAGGATATTTGCATTTCTCCTTTCTGTGGACTGCTTCACCAAGACATCAGTCCCTTTCCAATCAGTTATTCGTTTCCTGTTCCATTTGTCAAGTGTCTCACCAGTAACAGAAATAAACTGCTACTTTACCTTTTGCACGAGACTGACTTTCTGGGCCCGGAGGGCCTCGTCCATCAAAGCTATCTCTGTAGCGGTCAAAGTAAGCGTCATCCTTCCTCCTGCAATAGTCATCCATTCGCAGGTATCGGTCATAAGAGCTTTCTCTCCTGAAAAGCGGAACAAATTTGCACAAAGTTAAAACTCACCTATGCTGCAAAACTCAGATAGAGAGAATTCTTCAACACCCACTCCTCTGTGAGGAAGAGGCACAGTAAGGCAGGACTTTGGGATTAGACAAATGAGGTCTGTGTCTGAGACTGTGTTAACCTGCTTTGCAAATGACTGGGAGGATGTACAGAAAGCTCTCAGAATAGTCCCTGGCTTAAAGTAAATGCAAAATAATTGATAGTAACTACTGATATTAATTATATAATACATACAGACATATATTTCATGTAAATACACAGATAAATTTCTCATCACCTTGAGCAGAACACTCAGAACAGAAACTCTGTACCCACTAAGCAGAAACTCTTCACTTCCCGTCCCTGTAACCACTAATCTATTTTCTGTCTCCATGCATTTGCTCTCTCTGGATATTTCATGTCAGTGGGATCATACAGTATTTGTTCTTTTGTGTTGTCTGGATTACATCCTTTAGCATTACGTTTTCAAAGTCCATCCTTGTTGTAGCAGATGTCAGAATTACCTTCCATTTTATGGCTGGAATACAAGTCCACTGTATGGATAGATAACTTTTTTTATTCATTCATCTTTTGCTAGACCCACCTTTCAGCTACTGTGGAGAGTGCTGTTACGCATACTCACATACAAGGATCTGTTTTGAGTCCCTCTTTTCAGTTCCGGGAGTGGAACTGATGGGTCCGAGTAATTCTGCTGTGTTTAATGTTCTGAGGAACCTCCTGCCAACTGTTCTCTGCAGCAGCCACACTATTTTACATGCCCACCAACAATGCATGAGGGTTCTCTCTCTCCCCACCTTGCCAATACTTGCTACTTTCTTTTGTTGTTTGCCTCGATAAACGATTCAGTGATTACAGCCAGCCTAGTAGGTATGAAGGGGTGGCCCATTGTGGCTTTGATCTCCATTTCCCTTCTGATGAATGATGCTGAGTATTTTTTTCCTAGACCTACTGGCCACGCGTACATTTTCCCTGTGTTTCTGCACTGCCAGAACAATTTGCGATCCATCTTTTTTTTTCCATTTGCACAATGCTGCCTTTCACAGGTCACATGGAGAGATCCAGATTCATTCACTAAGCATAATTCATCAAACATTCACACATTCAGCAAATATTTATTGAGTAGCACATCTGCCACTTGCTAGACATTGGAAATACAAGGCTGATAAAGTCACTGCCCTTACAAAGCTTTCAATTTGTTCAACAGAACACCCATAAAAAAGACTGTTACCAAAAAAACCAACAAAAATCCAAGCAGATGGCTGCATATGTACCTGTACATGGGCTCTCGGGAGTCTCTCATATCTCTGTATCTGTCGTACATGGGGTCCCGGTGATCTCGAAAATCCCTAGAGTCTCTTAGATCACGAAAGTCTCTAAGGTCTCTCATGTCCCGAGCATCACGCATACTTCGGCTGTCTCTGTGATCCCGAATGTCTCTGGTATCTCTGTGGTCCCGCAAGTCTCGGGGGTCTCGCATGGCTCTGCTATCACGGGCATCCCGGCCATTTCTGCCATCCCTGGGCTCTCTCCTTGGACTTCCTCGGATTGGGGATCTATCACGTCTTGTATCTCGACCATCTCCAAAGCCATATGGATCTCTGTGGGAGGTAGCAAGGAGGAGCTAAGACAAAGAAATTGAAGGTAGCCAACCCTTCAGCTCTTTATTGGAGGAAGTCCCCACCCTCTCCAAGCATTTTTCTCTAAAACACAGCAGCCAAACAGTGAGAACATGACTAAAATTTTAACGACAGTCACCCATCTGGTTAGCAAATAAAGACTAGTAGGTTCCAGGATCCCAAAAGATTAGGACATCAAAAGAAGAATGTAGACCCAAAGCCAAAGGGTTCGACTGGGGTCACGTATTTGTCCCAGAGCCGTTCGGTATTCCTTACGCATGCCACGCTATCATCTAAATCTCCCCAGGTTTTCAAAGTTCAAGCATCTTTCCCCCAGAACCTGTTTTCTCCCACTAGACATGTTTGAAAGATTTTAAAAGGGGGAAAAGTTGGGGAGGGACATAGTAAGGAGCAACACTCATGAAGAAAAAAAAGAGCAAATGCACAATTTCATATATAGTAACAGTGATCAAAGTAGTTGTTCCTGAAGTACAGAAAATCTCACTTAAAATATCTAGTAGGGTAGTCAAATTAAGGAGAAAAAAAGAAAAAGTACAATATGACACACAGTAAAATATAAGAACACTCAGCTTCTCTGTCTTCTCAACAGTTACTGAGTAGTGGTCTCTCTCAATCTGAGTTTAATGCAGAACCTGGTCCCCCCACCGCCTTTTATTTTTATTTTTGGTCTTTGAACAGTGTCTGAAGTCACAGATATGTTTGGGCTTCATGAGACATTCTACCCCACTGGAAACTAAACCTCAACATATCTAAAATTAAACTTCTTATCCAACCCACTTCTTAGTCCCATTCCTGACTTTTTCACTTTTGCTGGAAATTATCTTCCTGGTTACCAAGGTTTAAGTTCTTGAAAGTTAATGTTGATTCTTCCTTTCCTTTCTCCATTAAGTCACTTGAATCCTGTTCACTTTTCTTTTTCATTCCTACTGGATTCACAAGTTTACAAAACAAAACAAAAAACCCAACCCAAACCAAAAGCCAATCTTCCAGATTTCAATTCATTCAACATATAAACATCAGATTAACTATCAGATTTCCACCTGTTACTAATCACAGCTTGACAATCACATTTTTAGGTACGCCTCCCTAACACATCCGGACCCTTCCCAACTATTACTGCTCCCCCCATTTCCTGATTCAATCTCATCTGTTCTGTTCTTAGGACTTAACTAGAATGATCCTATCTGCTTCAGGATTTCTGCTCACATGATTTTTCAACTTGGAATATTTTTCCTGCACTAATGCCAGGATCACCCAAACCTCACAGGAAAGTTCATGTCCCAAATCTTCCAAGAGATCTTCTCTAATCTCCCTAATAACTGTTGATCTTTCCTGCAGCTCAACTCTTAGAACACTTACTATTTCTATTACTCATCTCTGATAGTTACCTTTTCACAACGGCGTCTCCTTGCTTGACCTACTTTAAGGATTACCGCCTCCATAAAATCTGCCCCTAACTCTCGAACTTCCCCAACAAAAATGCTCCTCCTTCAGCCCTTTCCATCTCAATAAATGGCACACCTACCTACTCAATTCATTAAGCCAAGAAGCTGAATGTCATCTTTTCCAAAGCCCCATCCCCTCTTCCAATTCCATTTTCAAATTCTGTTCATTCTTTCTCTAAAATCTGTATCAATTCTGTTCATGTTTATGTCCGTTAGTACTGCTGAAGGCCAACCCATAATGACCTTTCCCTAAAACCACAGCAAGAGACTTCTACCGTGGGATAAGACTTCCTCATTTCTGCTCTTGCCTCTTTTCTAATCTTTCTCTGTATTATTCTAGAGTGATTTTTTCAAATATGTAAAAACCTCTCACTGGTTTCCCACAGTATTCAGAATTCAATCCAAAATCTCCAGTAAGGTTAAGTCAGGTGCTGCACGGTCCTGGCTGTCTTCTCCAACTTCACTCCCTCCCCTCCGAAGTTTGAACACTATCTTGCCACACTGGCCTCTCAGCTGTTAACTAGCCAAGGCTTTTCCTGATGCCTCTGCTTGAGCAGCAAGAACAGAACATACTCATTCTCTAGGTCTCAGCATGATATGTGTCTCTTAACCTTCGATTATTCTAATAGTCTAATAAGTTTATTTTCTGCCCTTAAATCCTGGCCACATTTTCTCATAGCACTGTTTTTACTTGTCATTTATCACAATTCGACATATCTATTTACTTGTGTAACATCTGTCTGCTCTACTATACCGTGAGTCCATGAGGACAAGGGCTGTCCCGTCTGGCTTTCCACTGTAAACCCACTAGGTCAGTTTATGTCTGACATGCAGCAGACGCCCCATAACTTACGTTATATGTATTTCTATCACTGCACTTATCACAGGGTTCTGTCATTACCTGTTTACACTGCTTCTCTACTGAAGAGTAAGTTCTCCTGAAGTCTTTGGATCCCTAGGACATCAGCATGGAGTTCAGTAATGTTTAATAAATCGAATTATTCAACTCAACTGTAAGCCTCTTACGAGCAGTTGTCATATTTTGTCTAAACTTTTGTCATCTACCATGATTACACACACTGGGCAGCCATCACAATGCCATCAAGTCTGGTAGAAAGCCTCAATTTTACTTCATGTGGGCACAGTAAAAAGAATTTAAATGCCAATTCTGCATCTATGAAAAGTCCTTGTCATATATTTTAAGGCTCACACGCACTCTTGATTTATGGGCGCAAACATGGGAGACCAGGGAGTTTAAATGAGGAGGCGCTAAAGATTTTTCCTATTAAAGTGCAGACTAACCAAGATTCTTTGTTTTTTTCTATCACGTCCTAGAATCTTCCTCACGTGTATAACATCTGATAAGAGTATATAATGTGGGCAAAAACTCAGGATCCTATGGAAAGAGACAAGTAAGTATTTTTGGATTAATGATTAGCAGATAAACTTGCCTTGGGGAGCAGTCAGAAGTAGTCATTAGAGATAGAATCAGATTTCAAGTGTTCTTGGCAATCAGGGATGAGAGATACCATGAACCTGACAGACCACAGACCACACACAAAGCCTTCAGGTGGTGGTAACGAGGGGTGGGGATATGGCTAAGAACACCGAGTCATAGCACATTATTCATAGCCTTAGGATAATTAAAAATGCCATATTGTCCTCATGGTTTTTAATCCACTGAAATACCTTAAACTTACCTTACTTACCTCCATCCCTGGAGGCTAACCATAACCCTAGATTCCCAAAGTCTAAGATCACGCTTCCAGTGTGAGAAGGCAAGCACTCCCTTTCCCTCAATGAATCTAAAGTCCATATGCAACAAAACTACTAATTCCCTCATTGCTTTCTGGGTAAAATGGAGAAAAGATGATATTCACAAGGGGGAAAGAACAGTGGAAGTAGGTACAGAGAAGATAATAATATGAAAAGGCAAAGCTTTTCTCCTTTCTCCAAAAGACGAGCAGTGTGGCAGAAGCTGTTCTTCTAGAGACAAAAACCAAAAACCTTTAGGGTCACTTTAGGACCCAAACAAAGATCTCCCCAGAACAAAAGGGCTCCTGCTGCTGGCCCCAACAACTTTCTCAAAACAAGAACCAGCTAACAGAAGGGAGGTACAGGGTGCAGGATTCAGAGTGCACAAGGAGGAAGCCTCTGAATGAGATACTTGACCTTAGATAACAAGTGGGTTAAAAGCAAGTTTCTGGAGCACAATAGGGTTCATAATCTCATCCCATAGGTGTTTTACTGGAGAACAACCGCAGTGTACCCTCAGGTACCAGGTCACTAGAAGCTAAAAAGAACTGAACCTTTTAAACAGAACCAGTTAAACAAACTTCAGCACTGGAGTCCACAAACTGAAGGCAGATGACAAACGCGACTAAAATTGCTATACATTTCTCATCTATTCAGCTGGGGAAAAAGCCAAATGCTCTTTGCCTTGAGAGAAATATAGTCGTATCACTTGGAAACATCTGAGAGGGAAGAGAAGGGTGGGTGACGGTAAAAGCCATGGCTCAGATGGTAAAGTGATGTGCTTCTGGTAGAACAGCTTCTCTTCCGGGGACTACCAAGAGGTGTGCAGAGCGCTAGGCATTTGAGAGCCTACAGAGTAAGAACGGACAGATGATCATCTTGGAAGTCTGTGATGGACCTTAAGTTTCTCTTCCTCCACAGACCGAAACCTCAAGCCCAGGATGGTGTTCTTTGGCCTTGGTTCTACAGAATGTCAGGGAGAAAGGCCTCTGTCCTTTTTTGTCAGCATCTCCTTTCTGTTCACTGGAATATTTTCCCTTAGAGGGCGAGCTTTTTTTTTCTTTGGCCGTTCCTGAAAAAAAAAAACCAACTTCAGTAGTTGCTGGTACTTCTGTCGCAGATATTGTCCACAAATATCATTATCTAAAATGTCTGGCTGCTGCGTGATGTTGATCCCCCACCATGATGGCTCCATGTTACCGTGAGAAACGGAGACAACAGACTCGTGCAGAATTTTGCCGATAGGTGCTGGTAGGACATGGGGTGCAATGAGTTATCGCACCTCACAGATCCAAATTTTTTAAGTGTCCATGCTTCTCCCTAGGAAGAACGCTGATGATTTTCTCAAGCACAAATACGACTCTTTTGTCGGTAGAGGCGGCACTTCCTGAGAACCGATGGCTGTTCTTTAAGTGTTAGTGCAGAGGTAATCACAGCCTGGAATCTTAACTTGCGAGGCCCACCTAGAGCTAGCGTAAGAGCAAGTAGTTATCAAAAGATAAGCGGAGATAGGAGTCATCTTGAGCCACATCATAAATTCGTCTACAGCTAGGATATTTCTGATGAGCCGATCCCCGATGACTTTCACCGAGATGCACCAAACCTAACATCCTTAACAAACACACGGGGGAAATTCTCTGCAGAGCTTTTGGTGTAGACAAATTAGTTCTATTTGCTCTTTTTAATGTCAGACAGGAAGGTTTAGGAAATAGAGTCTCACTTGGAGGCCACAATTGTGTAGGGATATGTTCCAAGACCTGGACTGCCAGGGTGCTGAGCTGAAGACAGAAACTGAGAACATCTGAGGTACAACCAGAATCACGGTCCAGTCTCTGAAGAAAGTAAGGGCCAGTGCCTAGCACCAATGCTAGACAGCTTACATGGCAACTAAGCGATGTGCTCGAGTCCAGTGAAGTGGTCCAAGGGTTAAATGATGAGAATTCAGGCCGAAATTTGATCCAGAGCAGGGATCCCTGAAGCAGAGTTTTGTGCTCGGCTGGACCAATACTGTCAGAATTACACACTGACAGCTGGAGGCACTGGGGAGGCACATTACCGAACAGAGAGCAATGCCAGCAGAACTGTGGCTTACAGAGACATCTGAAGAGGTGATAATCCTGTGAAAACTCCCAAAGACACTTAGGTGTTTTGACAGTCAAGGTTAACGTCCAGCAAAACAAGGTGTTACAAAGGTCTTGCCAGCATGTTTAGAAATAATTTTATTAAAAGGAGCAACACTGAACACATTAAAATACAACTCCAGGGAACTATGTGCCACAAATATACTCCCCCCACCCTGCCCGTGAACAATGCATTCCGTCTGGCTGGAGGACACGTAACTGATTAGGGTTGCCAAATGAAGGCAGTTTGGCAGTTGTCAACAGACTGGTATATTTTGAGTTACTTCAAGGCTCTGACTGGGCGTATGTACCCGAAGAGTGATACCCAGTGATACCCAGTGTTCATCCTTAGAGAAATGATTAGCCTCTTCCAGGCTAGCCAGTTGTCCATCTTGCCTACTTATTCCATTTTATTTCTGCCTTATTGGTATACCATAAGAGAAAATACATGATCAGTGTGATCAAAAAGTTAGTGTTCTGTTTTGAATACAATATCAAGTTTGTCTGGCTTTAAAATTTTTATTCTTAGAGATAAAAAACTGGGACTCTCTGCTCAGGTTTTAGACAGGGCTCTAAACAGATTTACGAAATGTGAATATCCTCCTTCCCTGAACCTTATTAAGCGCGACTGTATGACACTTCGTCATGTTAAATAACACGCTGAGGAACCCAGTTAGGGACACGGCACCAAGGGGGAAGACTGATTCTTGATGGCAATTAAATTAGCCCAACTGTGCCTCCCATTGATTGCAAAAAGAAGCAGGAGGCTACTGCCCTATTCACATCCCAAACAACCTCATTTTAGAAATTATTTGAGGAACGTGGTATTTTATTTTTTTTAAAAGACTTTATTTGAGAGAGAGAGAGAAAGCGTGCATGCGAGCAAGCATGAGTGGGGTGGAGGGGCAGAGGGAGAGGGTGAAAAAGACTCCCTGCTGAGTCAGGAGCCCAACACAGGGGTCAATGACCTGAGCCAAAGGCAGGTGCTTAACCAACTGAGCCACCCAGGTGCCCTGAGGAAGGTGATATTTTAAGAGGGTATATAGAAGTGACGTATTTGTATTTATGTCTCTGGTAGGGAGAACATTTTAAAAGCCTCTTCCAATGTTGTTTATATATATATATATATTTTTTTTTTTGGTAGGGGGATCTACTATTAAAAAAAAAGAAGAAAAGCATATAGCTATTTCTTCCATTACACAAGAAATTATAGAGCTGCGTTTTAAGAGGGGATGAAATTAATCTTTTTAATTTAATGTTCTGGCAATAGCTATATTGGATTCCAAGCAGGGGAGATGGTTATTTTCTCAACATTGCCAATGTCTGTTGAATACCTATAATCAATTGGAAATGTTAAAAAGATTTAGCTAAGTATTATTAATAAGATGGCATAAATCAAGAGCACAAATAGGAACTACTCTATTCTGTGATGTGCCTTGTTTTTTTTTGGGGGGGGGGGGAAGGCGTGTTGCGTGCAAAAACACACAGACATTATCCAGAGATTACAAGCATCATGGGGACAAGAGCGGGGAGAGGATTTTACTAGTGGAGCCAGTGTCTTTGTAGATACCAATTCCATACTCCTTTCGGTAAGTTACCTAGTTTGGGAACACATGCATTCTTGCTCCTTGGAAACCAGATACACACTCTATCTCCTTTCAAGCCTCTTGGCAACCACAGCTTCCAATGGGCGCCCTCTATGTCTGACCATTAGATGTAAACTCTTCACCCTCTGTATTCCGTGTTTGTTGGGGCATGAGAAGCAACACAGATGGGACTTCCCAACATCTACAGCATGGTTTGATGTGGCATCATAGAAGCAGACATTATACTGCTGAAGTTCGGCAGGATTCACTTAAGTTCTTCAGGATACTCACGCATGCCCACAAAATCAATGAGCACAGTATTTACCTGTAAGCTACAGGCATTCCTTCCAGTGTGAGAGCGGACAGACAGAATACCAATGTACATGTTCACTTCTGCAGTGAGACCAATGGCCAGCCAGGGCATCCCCCCGGTGGCTGTAGTGCAGCTGTGGCTGTGGTGTCAGAATCAACTCCTCTGCACTGGCCAAGTGCTCAGAGAAGCCAACTGAAATCACCACCTTGCTGCTACCGTCCGCCTGAGCTCTGCAGGGCAATCATGTATAATCTATTCCTGGTATCCTAGAAAATACCCACCCTTCACATCCAAGTGGGGGCAACATACACCAAACATACAGCAGCCATTCCTTCCTATGAGCGGGGAACAAAGCAGAGGTGTTTTTGTCTCGAAAGACACCCGTGTGTCATGTGTAAGTTAGCTGGGTATACACCAGGTCATCTGCGGCGCTAGCACTACAGACCAGGATTCATCGTACTCAGCAAGGTTCAGTTCAATATAAGAAATGTAGTCTATCATGGTACGTAGTTTAGGTATGTAGTTTACTGTGGAAAACTGGTATTTTTACTTAGAGGTAAAAGCAAAATCCTTACTGAGTATCCATCTGGCCATGAAGAGACACCAGACATGAAACAGATCAAATCTGTGCATTCCACACAGAAGTGCACACACTGCATCCACTCGTGTGCGGTTAGGGTGCTAGTTTGGATAACGCCTCTTTGGTGCATATGGTAACATAAACAGGCTCTTCTTGGAGAGAAGGGGCCAATTTAATGCGTATCTCGTGGGTATACATCAGGACTATCTCTTCTGTAGATACTGGAAGAAAGAATGTATTAGGGAAATGCCTTTTGTTTCCAGGAAAGCTAAGAAAAAGGGAGACTGTTGAGAGCTGGAGTGTTTTTGCCCTTTTTATTTCCCCTCAGACGGTAACCCAAGCATGCGCGCAGACGGGCCTGCAGCACGGGCGCGGCAGCCACCTCTCCCGCAGCGCGGTCCATACACGCGGTTCACGTGCGCCCGCAAGCCATCTGGGACGAAGAGCCGAATCTCTGCTGCCCACGCAGCGCAGCATGGCGCGCACCAACGACCCTGGGGGACTCCTCCTGCTGCGGAGGCTCCCAACGACACGTGAGCTGGGGACAGACAGAGGTTTATCCTCTTCCGATCGCCTGCAACTCATGCTGCAAGCTGAACTTGCTGGGTTTGTCACCGAAAACGCAAAGCTTCTCTGCATCTCCTGATGTATGTTTAAAAAAAGCAGGAAGGCCCTTCACACAACGTTCATGTTCTTATTGTTTGCTTGAGCGTTTCTGATTTGTTGGGGGGAAGAAAAGACCCTTGACGTACGAAGTTGGGCTTAACTCCCCAGAGCCCAACTCTCCCAAGGTAACTCACTGCTTCAGGGTACTTTACCTTCGTGTGGGGCTGGGTCTTGATGGAGCCGTATTCATATTTCTTCTTTCCGCTGCCTTATTAATATCTGAAAAGAATAATCAACCCATCTGTTCAATGCTATGGAATAAAAACAAAATCATCAGCACATTTCAAATGAAAGCAACAACAAAAAAACTACAATGACAACCAGATGGTGTAAGAAAATCCATTCAGCAGACACACTGTCACTTGGGCAATTTTTATTAAGTTATGGCAGTACATTGTCATGGTTTGGTAAGGAATGTCCCTCAGTTTATGCTTTAACACGCTATCAAGTCCTAAACCTAACTGCCCCCTCCAAAAGTAGAAAAGGTTGCCTTCTAAACTCTTCGAGTGCCAGCTCCAAGATTCTTTTTTGAGGGCAGGAGAGTGGGAGAAAGACACGAGAGACAGAGTTTAAAAAAAGAAAAAAAGAAAGAAAGAAAGAAAGAAAAAAGAAAAAAAAGCAGCAAAGGAAAATAATTCCATTTTATGTTACAAAGAAGAAACAGCCGGACTCTGTTGCTTAAAACTGCCAATATGCCATGAAGCAGGGCCTACTTTTAATGTGCCTTGTGTTGCATTCCCTTGTATAGAATGTTCCAGAATGAGATGTAGAAAAGAATATTTCTTTCCTAAACGAAGTATATTACATGTTAGCAACTACAATCCTCACAGGTAAGTATGGAAAGTAAAGGTAAGTACTTCAGAATAAAAACTGGCATTTGGTTAGGTAGTAAAACACTCCACACAAGAAGTTTTCATTAGAGAAGTGTGGCATTTATAACCAGGTAAGGGAGAACAGTGGAATCATACAAACTTACAGAAAAGCCAGTTTGTGCAGTTAAGGCCTACTTGCTAAAAACAAAACAAATCTGCTTTGCAAAAACCGAAATGAATAATAAAAACACCATGTATGAGTAAGAACTGACGAATTATCTAAAGAAATGTACCAATCTATGTCGAAAGATAACACAGGGTAATTTTTATGTGACTTACAGATTAATAACTGTATTAAAAATTTCAATCTTTGGTTGCATGAAGAAATGAAACTGTGTCCCGCTGCAGTGTAGTTTTGTTCTCCATGTTCCATATTAAGCAACTGGCAGCGTATCTAATGACATTAAATGGTATTAAGCACTCACATAATTAGAGTACTTTAAAATAGTAATTATGTATTTAAAAAATTCCAACCAGAGTCCTACGGTGTGAGATCACAGCAATAACACAGAACTTAAGAGGTCTGCTACAGACCTTACCCCGCTATGCTATCAACTTTGAGTTCCTATTTAAGTGAGAATAATCTTCAGTACCATTTTAAGTCAGAGTTTCTGCTGTATCTAGGAGAAGAATGACTTTTGATAAACTGAAGGTAACATAAATCTATACAATAAGAGAAGCATATTTCACCCGAAGTTGCCTCTCACATTTTCAATTAAGTAGACAAAATGCTATCATCCCTCTATTAAAAAAAAATAAAACTAAAAAAATAACGTCTATACAGGACTTGGCCAATAGTAATATCTGACCACTGCTTTGGTATGGCAAGTAGCACTTTCACTTACAACCCCAAAAGCTCAGCAACAGCTGAACTGCACATTATATAATGATTAGTTCTTTTATGTGTTATTGTGAAGAATATTGGTTTAGGTTTCGAAGGGCCTACTGACCTAGTCTACTTACTTTGTACTGCTCTCTAATATGGGGTGATTATGATTCAGAAAGAAATGTCACCTCTTTGTTTAAGTCGTTTTCTATGGAATATACTGAGGGTAGTAGGGGTGTGAAGATTTCTTTTAAATAAGCACGGGATCTCCCAGCAGGATTCCAGGTATTATTGGATGGTCTTGTGAATAAAGAAAGCTTCTCTACTAAATATTGACTTGACCTGAACATTTAGGTTAGAGTACAGAACATATGGTACCATTTTAGCGGGCACATTTCTATTAATGTGATATAATTTGCTTACATGGTATGAGAAGGACTATTACACTATCAAATTATATTCATTTCTGTGAGCACCTACATATTAGTACTGGGGAGACCAAAGTAGTCATGTATTATACACTTTTGGGGCAAAGCTGGCTCCAGTTAGAATGAAGGAGGTAAATATTTTACTTTGAAGTTAGTGAAATTTTTTTGCAATTATTTGAAAGATTATTTAAAATTCAAGATTATTTTATCTTTAAACCATTTTGATTATAATTTGCCTCCTACTATCTATTTTCACTAAATAGTCTAAAGCAATTATATCTGGATGGTGTGGCTTATGTTTCTTCTGTAAAAAAGAGAACTCTTAGACCATTTTAAGTTTCTTCTTAAATGCCAAGTGTTTGTTTATTCACCTATATTTAAGAGTTCCTTATACCTCCATCTTGGGTGAGATATGGAGAAAATGAGACCTGAAGTTTTTGATAGTTTCACTGCCACCCAAGAGGGCTGGCTGCTCAGGTTAGAGGAGGGTTGGGGGGTGGGTTTCAGTGAGAGTTATGAAAGCAAAACTGTTATCACCACCAAGACCTATACACAAAAAAATCCTAATACATGGTCACATAGAACTTTTGGAAAACCTATGAGTTCAGAAATACAGGAAGAATAGAGAAGCTGCCAAAAGTAAAATAACTTCAGGGTACTGGTCACAAAGCATAATTAAGATTTAAAGAGTCAAGGAAAAAACCCTTGTCCCAACCCCTCCCCCCTCTTTTTTTGGTCACATAATTTAATAACCCACCAACTGGGAGGTCGGAGGTTGTTTGAAAATGCAAATATTGGGACTGGTAAAGGGAGCTTTTGTATTAATTGGTTAATTCGATTTTTTCCTTCTTAACTCTTTACAGAGATATATAATCTACACCAAGGAAATAGAAATAATGTTAATATAAAGGAAAAGAAAAAAAAAGATGGAAAGACAATCTGGCCACCTTTCTGGACATTAGGTAGGGAACCATAATTGGAGAGAATTTAATCAACAAGAGGGTAGTGGCAACTTTGATGTTTCTTTCCCCTCCTGCTCTATCTCATCCTGGCCAAATGCCCTTAAGACCTGAAGTCAGTCTCTCATTGTCTCTTTCACCTCAGCTTGGTTGGTACCTCCGTACTTTGGTAGCTATATTAGCTATGTGAATGCCATTCAAAATCACCATCACAAGGTACCTTGGCCTGAATATCTTCTAAGGTTTCTTCTGAAAATAGTTAAAAGCACTTTTCAGTTAAGGATTTTCAGGCAAGAAAAATAACACCAACTGAAGGGATCTACATAAAAGGAAACAAACCAGAAAATAATCTAGAAAACACGATGTCACACAGGAAGTGGCAAAGCTGTTTTAAGTCACAAAAGATTGGGGTAAAGAACTTTCAAAGAATGACACAATGCCTACTGTACAATTTTAGTTTAGGCTAATATGCTAGACAGGGTTCACACAATGGTCTTTGTACAATGCTATAAATAAAAATGCATGTTTCATTCATAGTACCAAGAATGGCTTTGCTCTATTATTTCTAATTGTACCATCATAAAAACAACTCTTTTCACCTTAAAATCAATTTTTATCACAAGCTATCATAATGGAACACCATAAGGACTATTCTAGCATGAATTGCTGCACTTAGTGACAGTATCACTGTTGGGACTGTTGGCTGCTGAAAGAACCCAGAAGCCCAAGTAATTTTGATGTGATTATAAATGAAATAAAATTCCCCAAAGGCTTAGTTGAAAACCAACTAATAATCAGTAATTACTAAATTGGAACTATGTAATGATAAAGATAACGCCACTTGAAAAACCATACTGACAAGAAAGAGGTTATCACACATTAAATTCCCCAAACTGGGAGGGGAAAGGATTGGACTTCTCAGTTAAACTATATTTATGAAGATGGCCTTGATGGTATACTATAACATCAGGAATACATAACAAGTTATAATGCAATGAGTCAGGGATAAGAGAATGCCCTGCTCGTTGTTTCTCAATCCTTTAAGCTTACTTTAAAAACTATGCATTCCCTCATATTGGATTCTTTCTTTCATTCTCTAATTAAAATAGTGAAATCTGAATTTGTGGGGCGCCTGGGTGGCTCAGTTGGTTAAGCGGCTGCCTTCGGCTCAGGTCATGATCCCAGCATCCTGGGATGGAGTCCCACATCGGGCTCCTTGCTCGGCAGGGAGCCTGCTTCTCTCTCTGTCTCTGCCTGCCACTCTGTCTGCATGTGCTCGCTCTGGCGCTCTCTGACAAATAAATAAATAAAATCTTTTAAAAAAATAGCGATTATATCTTTAACTATATTAGATGATTATTCCTAGGTACAGGAATGGGGGAAACAATGATAACTTTTATTTACAGAATGCTTACTCTGTCCCAGAGCCTGTACTAAGAACATCATTGTACACTATCTCATTCAATCCTTTCTATAACACTTGGAGGTAAGTACTATGATCTCTATTTTGCGAATGAGGAAATTTGAGATTTAGAGAAATTAACTGACTTTTCTTAGATCACATGATGGTCAGGAGGCAGAGCTAAGATTCAAATCCAGATTTGTCTGACACCAAAGTGCTTAACTATTATGCTATACTGCTCCAACAGGGAACAGAAAAACATGGTTTCCATTATGAACGCTTGCTAAGACTCCCTGATCAAAATGACAGAACCTGGGATAAGCCCAGTCTATGCCAGTCACACCAATGTTTAAGTGCCCCAGATACCCAGCAGGGCAGAGCCTACTTATTAAATTACCACTTCGGTTTTTATCACCTCAAACTACAGCTGACCCCTGAACAATGCAGGGGTTAGGAGTGCTGTTCCCATGCAGCGGAAAAACTTGACTACCTAAAAACTTAACGGCAGCCTACTGTGGACCGGAAGACTTACTGATAACATGAACAGTCAATTAACATGTATTTTTGCATGTTATATGTATTATATACTGTATTCTTACAATAAAGTAAGGTAGAGAAAAGAAGATATTATTATGGAAACCATAAGGAAGAGAAAACACATCTACAGTACTATAAAAAAAAATTCACATATAAGTGGACTTGTGCAGTTCAAACCCATGTCGTTCAAGGGTC